TCCGTTCTACCGCCACAGGTACTTCGACACGGTCTAAAGAGACAAAGATGCGCGATGTTGGCCACGACAGCTCCGCTCATGACCCCGTCACGCTTCTACATATTTCATACATCCGAATGACATTTTCTCTCGCTTATTGTTTGGGCTGGTCGGACGTTCCTTCTTTGTCGGCCGCTCAGTCTCTTTGTTCCGCATGTCATGAAAACATCGATGACCGACCGTGTTGCCGTAAACCTCGGGCCTTGCGAGCTCCTTAATCCCTGCTACTTGCATGTTGTTTGTTGTGTATTAGATAGTTCACGTTGCATAGTTGTTTAATAGAAATCATAAGGTACTGCCGTCGGATGTCGATGAATCTTCCAAGTGAAGAGGCTCATCAATCTACATGAAAGCTTTGTCTTCATCTTTTCAAGCGAGTCATATTTAGCAGGATCCAGAGTGTGCGGAGCCGTTGAGGCCTGGAGGCCTGAGGAGTGGCACAAAACGCGAGATAGATGGCGTAGGCCGACGCCAGGCGTCCTAGAGTTTCCGGTAGCGCGGATCAACTACTCACGTGCTGTACGCGATCTAGTCGCTTTGTGGCGGTGCCGGCGAAGTCTAGATCGTCTCGCACTCCAGTCCTGCAAATAGGTCAGCTATGCGCTCGAGCGTTCGTGCAACTTTGATCACCTACTTTACTATGAACCATTTTTGAGGACCGCTGCGTCACTATTGGGTCCTTGCGAGAACTAAAACTTTGAATGTGCTGAGGGATTTCGGAGCGGCCTTGTTCCTGGCCGATTAGTCAGCGAGAACGTCTTTCTGACTTTCTTGCGGTACCGCGGAGACCCATTAATATTCCGCTTCTTGCGAACACCTCCTCTGGTTACAATCCGACCTACGAAGCACGTCTATCATGCCCGCGACTGTGGACTACTCGCTGGAGGATATTGAGGCATGTAGGACATTGCAGACGGAAGAGTGGGAGGTACTCCAGGTGCGTGTTGACGTTGTCCTTGCCGCGAAGGCGTCATTCAATACCCCGCACTGTCTAGTCGATATACCCAGATTATCTGTCTGGAGACTCCTCAAACGGCGTAATCAAACTCGAAGTGCCCGTCGAGCTCTCAGAACCGAGGTTCGTTGTGCCGCTCGAGGCGGACAATCCTGCTACTGAAGGCTCAAATCAAGCTCCATCCGCTCAAGTGTCCCGCTCCTCGAAGGATAATTACGAAACCTCGAGCGTTGCACTATCCATACTCCCACCTCTGCTTTTGGAAATTCATCTTCCGCCAGCATACCCTTCCTATTCCCCACCGGAGATCATTTCATTACACGCAACTCATGGATGGCTGTCTTGGAAGGTCGTCCCACTTAGGAAGCACCTGATGAACATGTGGCAAGCTGGTGATGGTGTGCTCTACAGCTGGATCGAGTGCATACGAAGCGGGGAGTTCATGGACTCCTTACGTCTGTTGGTATCCGAAAACGGCAAGGATGCGATCAGGTGAGTATCTCCGGGTGTATATCCATGTCGCGGAGTGCCTGATAGCTCATTAAAGGGTGCCTCACCCCGCTCTTCACTTGCTTGCACCGCTACTCGTGGAGTACGAAAACTCAACACAGCAAGCCCGCTTCTCGCAGACCTCCTACAACTGCGAGATCTGCTTAACTTCCATCAAAGGTGCACGCTGCGTCTCACTATCATGCTCTCACGTGTTCTGCCGGCCATGTTTGGAGGATTTCTGGAAGCTGTGCATCAAAGAGGGAGACGTGGGCCGGGTTGGCTGCCCCGAGCCTGGCTGCATAAAGGAGGGGCGAGAGGCAACCGAGGAAGAGGTTCGGAGGGTGGTCACGGAGGACGAAGTACAACGGTGGAAGTGGCTGCGACGGAAGAGGATCACAGATCGAGGTAAATTACCCACACATAATCTACATCTCGTTTGACCCACCTCCTCACCCACAGATCCTTCCGTCATTCACTGTCCCATGTCTTTCTGCCAAGCTCCCGTGCCGAAACTTTCGAATGTAGACGAGGGCTCGGGCTGGGAACGTCTCCGGACATGTCCCGACTGCGGCTATTCGTTTTGCGCCTACTGCAGACGTACATGGTATGTACATCCTATCGTTGCTATTAGGCCTGTCGACTTGACGATCCTTGTCTAGGCATGGCCCTCTCAGCGACTGTCCGCTGTCCTCGACTGAATCGTTCGTTCTCGAGTACATCTCATTGCCAGAGGGTTGTACCGAACGAGAACAGATTGAACGTCGCTACGGCAAGGCAAACCTCACCAGATTGGTCGCAAAGTATGAAGAGGATCGGGCGAACAAGAAATGGCTAGACCAGTCGACCATGGGCTGTCCCAGCTGTCGCATCAAGGTCGAGAAGTCCATGGGTTGCAATCACGTAAGTGCTGATGTATCTATGACGTCGTGCATCTTCTCGCTGATCCATGCCCCCACTCAGATGACATGTGCGCGTTGTGGCCAACACTTCTGCTACCGATGTGGCGACAAGCTCGCACAGAGCAACCCGTATCAACACTTTTCGATGCCTGGTCACCCCTGCTTCTCGAAACTGTTTGATTATCAGAGTATCGAGAACGAGTGGCAGCCGGTCCAGGGCTTCGACATGCTCTGAGCCCAGGGATCGGCATTGCGTGGCAGCGCGTGAAATTGGCTCCTATTCTGACATGCTGTACGAGGAGTAGAGAAGGTGCGGCCAATGGGCAGCGTCCGAATAAACCTGATTTGTGTAGAAGATATGGAGTGGGTACTAGGACAGGGGTCGTCGGTCAGACGCGGCTTCGAATCCAGTCCATGATAGCATTATCTTACTACGAGCAAGCAACGCGCGCAAAAAAATTGCTCAAAGCAGTTGGAACTCATGAGGATAGGTGGTAACCGCGTCGAAAGGCGATACAAGGGAGTAGATGTCTTCGTTTATGATCTTCCAGAGCATCAACCACGGTACCAAAAAAGGTCTCGCGTCACGCTCTGGAGAAGCAGTCATAGACATCTGAATCAGCATGACGCAGGCCGAGAAGCCTCAACCAGGCCGTGGGGGAGTATTCGTGATGCATACTGTGCAGGAGAGACAACTGAGAGACATGGTGTTGCGCTAGCGAGAGCATTCGCAGAGGTGCAGGACGGCGTTTCACGCGGGTATCCGTAGACCAGGGGCCATTTCATTCGTCCGCACGAAGAGTTTGCCCTGGAGGCCTGGGGGCCGTAGCTCGGCACTACTGTGTTTTTTCTCCGTTTTTCTCCCCCGAAGGATTACGTCTATCTCGTCATGCCAGGCGGGAAAGGAGTGAGTTGACCAAGAAAGGAATTAGACGCCTGTGTGAGGTCTTCAAACCCGTCGGGCTCGACTCGCACGTCGACCTCCTATAAAGTATTCCTGGGCCCCGCACCTCTCTCCTTGTTTCTTTTCGGCCAGCCTCATTTTTGTAGCATTTCTGAGGCTGCGCGGGAACCATCCGATACCACTTTGTCCATACCCTCATCTTACCCCCATACCCTCACTGTTTCCCTAACCATCTCCCGCACGCAACACTTCTGTATCTCTCTGCCATCTATCCCCGCCGACGGACAATGGAAATCTACACGACATCTTTTACTTACCCTCGTCGCTCACGGCTCACTCATTCGCCCGCGTCTTCACTCGATTTCTCTACCGACCTACGGCCTCAGACCGATTCTTATTCCCAGCTCCACCAGCAACATGTTAACAGTACTCTTCAGGACCCCCAGGGGACTGCGTCCTCGTCAGACTACGAAGCCGTTCAAAAGGTCGCGATGATGGCAATGGCGGTCTACAGTGTACAAGTCACCTTCGCATCCGCCGACCAAGGCCGGGCCTGGAACTTTCAGATCTCTGGTGTCTACCAGCAGGTCATGCTTGCGAGAGGGATGGTAATGAAGGAGTGCCCCGTACAAGTGAGCAGCTCGTGTTTGCAGAGCCCGCAAGTTTGCTGACTCTTGCTTCGCAACGCTTGCCGCCAGAATCGCGCCGTAATTAAGGTCGCCCGCTTCGACATCCTAGACTCGCCATCTTCCAAGCCTAGTCTGAAGCTGGAAGTCCGACGGCGTCTCGACGATATTGCGTCGCAGACGTTTGCTCACATTGCCGTCGTTAATAGTACGGTCGCCTTGTCGACCCGTTCACTGCCGGACGGCGTTAGCAGCACGGCTGGATGGTCTGGACTGGAGACGGAGAGGGTGTGCGAGCTTGTGATCACTGGCCATGGTGATTCTGTGGAACTTGCCCGTGTTCGTCTGTTGGTTATGCTCGATGAGTTGGTGCGTCGGAAAGGTCCGCTCGTATCCTGCATCTCTAGCTGACGGTCGATTTAGAGCGGCCTTCACGCGGACTCATGCGAGATTGACCAAAAATTGCATGCTATCGTCGCTGGAAGGAAGCGCAACGTGCTCCAGTCTATTATGGAGGAGACGGCGACGAATATTTACATGCCATCTCCTCTCCAAGGGCTAGTGGGTCCCGAATTCGGGCAGGTTTCTGGCACAAGCACCGCTGGCACACCGAATAAGCTCAACCCGAACGTCATCTGGATCACAGGTGAATTTTTCGGCGTGCAGCGGGCTCGCGACATGCTCTTCCAGGTTTCTATGAGCAAGGTACTTTCACTTCTTGTCCGCATCATTATGTCCTAAGCGATCATCACTCAGAGCAAGCAAGTTATCTCCAGAGATACTGCTATCTTGCCTCGCAAGCTCGACTGGATGGTCACGGAACGCGCTGAAGATCTCAAAGCGCTGATGCACGACAACGCAGCTTTCATTCAGTTTCCTCCCATCGGTAGCTCCACGAGCTTGATCACCATCTTTGGCGATCATCGTGTCAATATTCACCGGACTATCCGCGCAATTATGCAATTGGTAAGCATCGTCTGCCCCTATTCTAGGGCAATCCCCTCACTCCGCTACATAGGCTTGCCAGTCCTACGTCGCGTCTCTGTGGCTGCTGCCGGCTCAGTTCAATGTTCTCCTTCCTTCAACGACACTCAATCCCACCCAAGTTTCCACTATCCTCAAGCAAGTCTCCTACACGAGCGGTGCGGAAGTCGTCTTCAAGGGTATGAGCTTCGAGATGCACGGCCTGGAGCACGAGGTCCGTACCGCCGTCTCCATGCTCCTGGAGCTCGACATTGTCAAGGTGTGCATGTTGCTATGTCCCTGTCGCGATATCTCACCTTGTCCTTAGAGTTTCCATCATGAGATACGCTTCCAGATCGAGCTCGCTAACGAGCATCGCGAGTTCATCTCGGGCAAGAAGAACGGGAAGATCAACAAGATTATGCAGACAACGAACGTTAAAATCAAGTTTGAGACGTTCAATGAGCACAACTTCCTCATCGACATCGCGGGCAACGATGCGTCAGTTCTTCAAGGCCTCACGCTTCTCCAGGAGGAGCTCCCAGCGGAAATCTCGTTCCATGTCCCCGAGTCATATCACAAGCGCATCATCGGCGTCGGCGGTCGTAGCATACAGCGCATCATGAAAAAATACGGCGTTTACGTGAAATTCTCCAATGCCGAGGAGTTCGCAGCTATGGGCGGCTACAACGACAACGAGGACAATGTCATCGCTAGAACCCCCGCGAAAAATGCCATGAACCTGGATAATTTAAAGCAGTCCGTAATGGAGTTAGTAAACCCGAAAGTAAGCGCTCCCTCTCTTGTGTCTGCAGAACATTGTGTTCATTCGGTCCTTCTCGCAGGATAAGGACTACATTAATGAGACTGTCTCTATCCCGCGCAAGTACCATCGCACCCTTCTCGGCGAGAAGAGCATTTTCATTCGCGACATCGAGGCGAAGACCAACTCCAAGGTTCGCTTCCCCGACAAGGAGACCGCCTCCGACCTTGTTTCCATATTCGGTCCAGAGAGTCAAGTCCAGATAGCCGCGACTATGCTGCTCGTAAGCTGTTCAGCAATTTCTTGCATCTTTATGGCTAACATATGTCAGGATCATGTTCCTTTTGAGGCGGAAATGGCTGTTCCACCGAATCCTGAACTCGCTAGGATCGTCACGACACCTGAGTTTGCGTCCTTCACAGAGAAGATTAAGCGTGACTTCCAAGTCGTCATCTCTCCTAACATCAAGACCGCATCTCCCAGCCCTGGTCACTCGCCGGAGCCGCCGATGGAGTGTTCATTCAAGTTCAGATGTCAGCGAAGTAACAGCGACTTCCTCGTCACTGCGCGCGAGGTCTTGGAGCAATTCTTAGTGACCCGCAGCATTCCTGTGTACCCGTCCATGACGCCGCGTACCCACAAACGCAGCGACTCGTTCGCGGATGCCTTCCCACACTTCGACAGCAAAGTTCTCCCGACTGCGCGGACGCGTCATCAGAGTATATATACCTATCTCTTCCGCTTCGAATTTGCGCTCACAGATTTTTTTGCAGATTCTGCTGACCTTGGTCGTCCGTCTGAGTCAATGATTGACCGCCGCTTACGGTTGGCTAGTTCCTCTCCAGACGTCAAGGCCCTCTTCAATGGTTCACCCTCTTACATCTACCATGTAGAGGAGGAGGACGATTACGATCAGCCGAATTACGCTCCAGGACCTGTCAACGACTACTGGCCGATCTCAAATCCTATGGTACGTTGCATTGGCTTTTTATTTCTGGCGCTTCCTGAGCAACGAGCAGGGATCTGGTTTGTCCAACCGGGCGCGCCATGCGGAGGATGCGCTCAAGCGCGGTTCTGACTCACTCCTCGAGGCCAAGCTCAAGGACCACTATTCGAAGCCGCGCTCTCTTACCAATCGGGCCCAGTCTCTCGATCTCACCATGTCACTCACCCGAATCAGCGAGGCGTCGTCACGGCTCTCTCGCCCGGAGTCTCCTGAAAATTCTATTTTGGAGACTGGAGGTTCGAGCCCAACGTCGGTGACGGCACCGTCGTTCCCAAGCGTGTACGCCTCTCCCGTGGGGTCGCGGTCGCAACCTGCCTCTGCCCATAGCACCATCGGGCGGTCAGGCCTCATAGCTGACGACGAAGCCGTCGAAGAAGTCTCGCGTGTCATCTCTAACCTCGGCCTGTGAACTCTGTCGCAGGACTTGAAGACCGACAGGCGACGCAAGGCCAAATCCTTCTTGAATAATAGTCAATCGCCCTAATGGGCGTCACCGGTTTTCTGTGTTGTTTGTTCTTCTACGTTCGCTGTAAAGCCTATTTGTGGGACCGTGTAATGGTGTATCCACTAACGCTCTCCTTTGCTCACTTCCGTATTCTTTCTAGCATAGCAATTTTCCAGACACCCCGCAGTCATTCTATCGCATAGCTCCGCTCGTCTCTTCACGCTGCTCGAACAACGCAAGCTATTCTAGACCACTCCTGTACCATATCAGTCTACCTAGAGTCGAGTCAAAATTCATTTCCCCTTCGCGGGCTGGTCAGAATGAAATGTTATCATCTGTTGCCTATCTATCCACAGCTGTTCTCCATGTATGATGGCGCGTTCTAAACAGTCTGGTGGTATATTGCTGTGTGATTACAATGTTGCGAAAGTACTGTTTACATTCCTGCTCAGAGCTGAATCCACGGCACTTCCGTGAAGACGAAGTCGAAGAACTCTTGCTCCATGAGCGTCTGGTACTCTCCGGCAACCTCGTCGGTGCCGCTGGATTGTGGCTTGCCCTTGGTCACCGGCGCATTACTCCGGCGACCGAGGTAAGTAAACTGCGTTTGCAGGGCCGTCAATGTACGCTTCGTTGCCTTAGGCTCGGGCTTTGAAGCAACGGTCAGACACAGATGACCGATGAAGCATGATTTGGTCGTCTCACCTTGATGATGAAGCCGGCGTAGTTCGCTGGAAGACCGTACCGCAGTACACTCTCGATGAACAAATAGAGGACTTTCAGATGTACGAGAATCTGGAACGACTCCGAAAAATTCGTCCTAGAGATCTGAAGGAGCTCTGTCTGTGATACAGCATATATGAATCAAAACGTGTCAGTCATGCAGGAAAAGAAGCGGGCTTACCCATAGTTCCTTCTCTGTAGTATCTGCGGCAGCGAGCTCCTCTCTCTGCTTCTCAACTTGGTCCTCCGAGTAAACAAAGTCTCGGACCACAAATCTAGTGCAGGTAAGGTCAACAGATAGTACAACCGCAACACACTCACTTGTTCTCTCGGCACTTCTGGATGAATTCGTCGTGGACTCGCTTGAATATCACAAGTCCAAAGAGCGTGTATTCATTATCAGCGGCAATTTTCCTGGTGTCAGACGGCGCGTTGGTGGTGTATCGGACAGTGCGACGCAGGGGGTACCTACTGGGATGAGCGGGGAACGACGAAGTTTGTCAGGCGTTCATATTTAGTGTTCCAGTCCTTGACAAGGAGACTGTTCATGTATCCTCAGTCAAAGCTGGCGGCGTGCGACCCGATACGTGCGCTCACCTAGGCACTGCCACCAAGACTGTCTCCATGTATTCGGACTCTTCAAGGAAATACTCCTTGGTAACAATATCGGCGAGCGACTTGACCGAAAGGTTTCCTCTGTAATGATCGGTTATCCGTCAGGGCAGGGCAGTAAACCACAACGTGGGGATAACTTCACGTCTTCTTGCGCTGCATCTGCGTCAGTGACCCCTTGGCCAGGTTATAGTTCTGCAGCTTCGTCTTCATGACATTGTCAATGGAGGACATCTCCTGCACTCACGACCGCTTATCAGCGATGAATCTGCCCATCAGCATGCAGGCACATACCTTCACGAGAACGTCGAGCATCTCCCTCAGTGACCTCTGGGTGCCATACCGCCCTTCGTTCCATCTCCAGTCACCGAAGAGATAGCTATCGACTGGCTTCTCGTTCACTAGGATGTGCTGGCGCAGTTTCGCGGGATCGTTGTTCAAAAGGTTACGCAGCGTGTCGACTGTCTTAGCCACTGTCCCAGTAAACGATGCATCCTGCTTGGGCAGTTCCTCCGAAAGCGCAACCAACGAGTCTAGTGTCCCTGTCTTTCAATCAAACAATTTAGATCTCTGACACTGTAGGATATACATAATGCTTATGACCTTGAACGA